AAATTAGTGAAGATTGTTTATATCTAAATATATTTACTTCTAATCCTTCTAATACTGGAAATATGTCTGTTTTAGTATTTATTCACGGTGGTGGATATACCAGTGGAAGTGGTGCAAGATGGCACGGCCAAATATTAGCTGCTCATGAAGACATAGTCGTGATTACCATTAATTATCGACTAGGTGTACTAGGTTTTATGTCATCCGGTGAAGAAGACACTAAAAAGAGCTATCCAAGCTAATCTTGGTCTACTAGATCAAAGTTTAGCTTTACAATGGGTAAAAGATAATATTGAAAATTTCGGAGGTAACCCACAACATATTACAATAGCTGGAAATTCAGCGGGTGCCTCATCCGCTATGTATCATATGGTTATGCCTTCTAGTAAGGGATTATTTAGGGGTGCAATCTTTCAAAGTGGACCTTATGGAGCTATACCATCATTTATTAAATCTCGTACATCATTACCAATAACACTAAAGGATGCTGAGATATCTTTTAAACGATTTAGTTCAGCAGCTAACTGTACAAAAAGTACAGCGTCAGAAACTGTCAATTGTTTACAAGTTTTAACCATACAACAGTTAGTAAATCTCCAATATAGCCTACAATCAAATTATCCAGCTCTTATTTCTCCTTTTGCTGATGGCAGCAATGTGCAAGAAGTCTTGTATACGGCTATACCAGCAGGAAGATTTCATAAAGCTAATGTTATGATGGGCACTACATTAAACGATGGCTACTTCGGTCTTATTTTGTTACCCAATTCAGTTAATGTTGCAAAGGGAATATCACGTCAAGATTTCATGTCTATAACTAGTAATGCCTTTCCTTTTGCAAACCAAGGCGTAAAATTATCTATACAATATCAATATACTAATTGGAGTAATTTTAATTCACCGATATCGAATCGGGATCAATATGGAGAAATTATCAACGACTTTATTTTTGCACTTCCAAATGAGTACTATGCCGATCAGTTTTCTCGATATATACCCACCTATAGCTACATATTTGCTCATCGTACTAGTGGCACGTTCAGACCTACTTATCTAAAGGTAGTACATAGTATGGAAATGCCATATGCTTTTAGTTATGCAATCGATAGGCCAGCTGATTATTCAACAACATTTAATGCTGAAGAAAAAGATTTATGCAAGTATATCATGTCGTACTGGGGTAGTTTTATTCGCAATGGGTTAGTACCGATGTTAGAATTCTATAATTAAGCGATATATGGTTACCGTTACAAATTAAATAATACCAATAATAAATATCGAAACATTTAAATATACAGCTCATTATAGAAAGAATTCTTATGGCTTTTAAATATTTTATCTACCACAAATATTTGCCTTTCTAGCACAACCAATAAACGTACAAATTCTGGAACTCTAATTACTGTATTAGTAACTAGGAAAATTGTTTATGAAAAGATATCAATTTTATAATTTCTTATTATTTTCTATAGTAATCCAACAGATTCAAGCTCTCCTATTACATGGCCTAAATTTACACAAGATACAGAAAGTACTTATGGATTGCTCCTAATTTTCAAATTAAAAGTAATTATTTTGCTATAGCATCGGCCTTCTGGAATCGGTATCTTCCTCAACTTGCTGCGCAAGTTACTGATTCCACAACAACTCCGAGTAAAATAACTATACCAGAAATATCGCAATCTTCCGAGCCCGGGTATATAATTGCTACATTTGTCCTATCAGGATTGTCTGTAATATTATTAATAATAGCTATAACTTTAACGTACAAAATCAATAGAGCTAAACGGATATATGTTAACTAATACAATGCAGAATAAAAAAATTAGATTTTCGATCGCATTGATACCAAAATGATTATTACTCCAGCGCATCACTTCTATTTAATGATGAAAGCTTAAATTGGGCAAATCTATGACCTTAAATTTAATATGCTTGGCTGTAAGTATTTGGTTGATATTACTAATTGATAAAAATTCAAATCTACAGTATATTTAATTTTATATACATAATGTCGAATGATTAAATAGCGTACTCTAGAGCTACTGGCAAGTATCGTATTGCTTAAGTTATTCCAGTTTGTCGAGTTACTTAACGCGAACATCATGTGATGTCCTTGTTTAACATATTATTATTCATACACATATGTTAATCATTGCGATAACGAAATAAATGCTAGATTTACTTTTGCGAATGCATTGTTTACGATAAATCACTATTTTCTGAAAGACTAAAAATCAAAGGTGAAATCTCTATTACATCCTTTTATAATAGGATATTTTTACGTAATAGGTGGTCGATATTACGACAAGAAATAAAAAATGCCACGTATAAATTTTTACTTCTACATTACTGCACGGTTAATACAATCTATCTGGCATAAGTTCCGAGATTCAAGACTGAAATATTCCAATTTAAATATCCCCTATCCAAGTAATGAATTCAAGGGAAGAAATGCAGCTGATGGACAGTATCATCAGCTGCTTTCGTCATAATAGTTGTTCCGGATTCATGAACAATTAAAATTAAGCCTAACGTCTATGTTATAATCTATGTTAAAATCATAAGAGTTTGAGTACAAATATTTATTATTGCCTGTTCTTTTCTACTGCGATTCCGCCTGTATAAATATTTAAAGGCGATACAGTTACAACGTAATCGTTAGATTCATTTATAAAAAGATGCTGTTACTTTTGTTCGTAAAGTAAATAAATTTAACGGATTGTTAACGCTCTAACTTATACAGAATCTTAAGCATAGTAACTACCCTCCTTGACTTGACCGTATTGCTAACTACACCCACGGT